CCAGTTTGTGGCAAGGGGAGGTCTGACAACGGGTATGTCCAGTTTGTGGCAAGGGGAGGTCAAGTGACAACGGGTACGTCCAGTTTGTGGCAAGGGGAGGTCTGACAACGGGTACGTCCAGTTTGTGGCAAGGGGAGGTCAAGTGACAACGGGTACGTCCAGTTTGTGGCAAGGGGAGGTCTAGTTTGTGACACCTGGTTTGTGTATGTGTGTGTCTGTGTGTCTGTGTGTTTGTGTATGTGTGTGTCTGTGTGTTTGTGTATGTGTGTGTCTGTGTGTTTGTGTATGTGTGTGTCTGTGTGTTTGTGTATGTGTGTGTGCGTGTGTGTGTGTGTGTGTTAACAGCTGTTTTCTGTTCCACTTCTCTATGTGTGTGTTTGTATGTGTTTGTGTGTATGTGCATATGTGTGTGTCTGACTGTGTATGTATCTGAGTGTGTGTCAGTGTATGTATGTATGTGATGAGTGTGTATGTTTGTGTCTGTGTATTTATCAATGTGTGTGTGTGTGTGTGTGTGTGTGTGTGCGTGTGTTGACAGCTGTTTTCTGTTCCACTCCCCTTTGTGTGTGTGTGTGTGTGTGTGTGAGTGTGTGTGTGTGTGTGTTGACAGCTGTTTTCTGTTCCTTTCCCCTTGTGTGTATGTGTGTGTAAGGTTGTGTGTGTACGGACGTGTGGGTATGTGTGTGTGTATGTACATGTGTGTGTTTGTGCGTGTGTGTGTTGACAGCTATTTTCTGTTTCACTCCCCCAGTGTGTATGTGTGTGTGTGTATTAGTGTACGTACGTGTGTGTACATGCGTGTATGTGTGTTGACAGCTGTTTTCTCTTCCTCTTCACCCAGCGGTGACCTGGTTCAGGCCGAGGATGTGATGTCACTCCTTTGTGTGTGTATGTACGTGTGTGTGTATATGCATGTATGTGTGTTGACAGCTGTTTCTCTTCCTCCCCCAGCGGTGACCTGGTTCAGGCCGAGGATGTGATGTCACTCCTCCGTTCTTTCTGCTCGGACGCGGCCATCGAGGTCCCACCGCGCCTTGACGTGCTGCGAGTTTTGGAGAAGGTCAGGAAAGAGGAGTGGGTGGTTGACGGGTGTTCTGGTGTGGTTTGCTCCTTCTTTCCTATCAAACGTCTATCCTCTCTATCTCCCCTCCTTCTTTTTTTTTGTTTTTTTACTCTCTTGTAACACCTCTATAA